ACTGTCAGGAGTGAGTGTTGGAAATGAAGTCAAAGGAGGTCGTGAGAATATAAATTGCTTTTCCCCTCCCTTTAGAAGATTTACAGTAACACTTTTTCCCTGGAAAGAACTTGTAAGCCAGGATTGTGAATCATGTGCCTTGTGCAGGATGGAGGCAGCAAACCTGGTTTTGTCACTGTTTAATACTGAACTAAGAGAAGGTGTGAGAATCATGGAATCACAGACTGGTTTGGGTTGGAAGGGACCTTAAATCCAGTTCCACCCCCTTGCCATGGGCAGGGCCACCTTCCCCTAGACCAGGTTGCTCAAAACCCCAACCTGTCAGAATTAATTGAAACAGTGCAAACAGCAGAGGTCTATTTATAGATGTTTTCTGGGGGGGATTGGGGTGGTTTTGTTAGTTTTATAAGTGTTAGGATCAACAGGAGGACCCATCAGTGATGGTCATATCGTGATCACTTATGAGAAGCACAAATATTTAACACTCAGAATTGTTCTGTGCTCCCTGACTCCAATGATTCCAGCATTTGAGACATTGCCTCCTGTGCAATTCCCTCAATTGGAGGGACTGGAAGGAAGGGCAGTGATGGATGACAGATTGCTGAGGGTGGGATGGAGGTAGAGAGGGGTCCTGCTGCTTCTGGGAATGTGGAGCCAAAGGGTCAACCTTGGAGACGCTGGAGCAGTGAGTGGAACATGGAGCATTTTTGTAGGGCTGCTGAAATAAAGCACAGCAGGATTTCAGGGAGAGGGATTTCCAGGTGGAAACAGCACTGAAATGTGGATTTGCTGAGTTTTATGACCTGAGAGAAAACCAAACAGCACCAGCTAACAAGGTGGCAGAGGGAGAGCAGCAGGAGGGGTGGTGGGCTCAGCACTCAGTGAGCTCCAGAGCTGGAGCATTGTGTGAGGGAGAGAGCAGGAACAAGGGGAACAGAAGCCCAGAAATGGGCAGTGAGGTGGAACGTGTTTGAGGCTTGTAACTAAGGAGGGGGAATGGATGTTAAATGAGAAGAGCAGAGAGGTACAACTGCCTGGAGCCAAAATGATCCTGTTGGCTGGAGTTTGAGAAGAAGTGGAAGAGAGTCCCTGGCTCTTCTTTGCACTGGAGCAAATGTTGTGGCTGTGTTCAGGCTGGCAGGGATGAGTGATGCTAATGGTAGTCTGGGAAGGAGCTCAGAAGAGAGCCTTGGGTGATTATGAAACCAAATATATAAATAAATGCTCTCCCCAGTCAGGTTAAATAAGATCTGGAAGATAATGATGCTGTTTCTTGAGACATTTGTTTATTAATGTTGTTGTGGAGGTGGTTTTGTGGTGTTTGCTGCAGCTGTGGTGGGTGAGCAGAATGTTAAATTGCTCTTTTTATGGCCAAGGAAATAATTTTATTGGATTGATCTTCTGATCACAAGTGGATTTTATTCCTATTAAAGTTCAAGCCAGATCTCTGAGTATTGTACTATTTACAGACCTGGAAAAACAAGAAAACTTTCTCAAAAGGTTCACTGGGCAGAGGAGCCCAAGGATTTGAATGTGGCTTAAGACTGAAAGGATTTTAAATAGTCATGTTGCATGAAACTTCTTTTTTTTTTCCCTAAGCAAAAATAAAATTCTCTGAATAGCTGACATCTCATATGGGATATTAAGAATAAATACAAGGTAGAAAAGTATCGTTTTCAGAGGGAGAACTATGAGTCAATGTTAAAATGGTTTTGATCTCCAAAAAAGGTGAGAATAGTCAAAGACCAATTGGATTTGGCAGATTCCCATGTGCAGGAAATGTAAAACTAGTGCAAAGAAGGCTCTAAAACACAGGGTGTGAAGAGGGGAGAATGTAGTGAAGGTTGAGAATAATCCTACAGATGGTCCAAATGGCTCATGAGAACCCTTGGATTTCCAGTGAAGAGGAAGTATTTTATTAATCATGGAATCCTGGAATGGTTTGGGTTGGAAGGGACCTTTAAAGCTCATCTCATTCCACCCCCTGCCATGGGCAGGGACACCTTCCACTAGCCCAGGTTGCTCCAAGCCCTGTCCAACCTGGCCTTGGACACTTCCAGGGAGCCACAACCTCTCTGGGATAATTATTAAATAGATAATTGGGATAATTAATAAATTCAGAGATTGGGAACTGAGGTGATAACAATAAAGAGGAAAGCACAGTTTGAATTTCTTAGTACAGTGCCTGGGACCCAGATAGTTTTCATACTGGAATATTGGGGTGTATTTAAATAAAAATATCAAAGACATACATAGTACCTCTATATAAGAGTAGCACAAGATCCACTCTCTGTAATTACTTGGGAATTGCATTCAGCAAATTCCCAGGAATTGCAGGGGTCCAGAGCACTGGTGCTGCTGCAAATGCCACTTGCTCTGGAGGTTTGAGTGGCTCCGTGGGAAGGAGTTTTGGAAAAGGTCTTTGTGTGGCCTCTGCTCTGTCGAAAAGACAAAGTTACGGTTTGGAGGATAAAAACCCTTTCCCTGAGGTTGTGTTTAAGGTTAAACTTTAATTCCCTCTTCTCCAAATTTACAAATTTCATCTTTTCTGAAAGGCCTGGGAGCCCCTTGGAGCACAGTTAATTTTATGCACTCGTATATCACAGAAATTGTGGCAAAGGATGTCGGACACTTTGAGTGTTTTTCCTCTTGGTGCAAATTAAATTCAGTCAGGTGGTGCCTGGCTGGGAGGAAAGGTTTTATTTTAACAGCTGAAACTCTTAACCTGCTTTCAGGAGCAGGAAGGTAAATTACAGAGCCAAAAACCTGTGATAAAAAGCTGGTACTAGGGGAGAGAGATGAAGCAGAAGATCTTATACAACCCTTTGGGGAACCTGAAGGGGGTTTGTTTCTCCATAAATGTCTGTACAAAGATGATTTTTTTTTCCTCTTCTATATAATTAGTTTAAAATGTGATGACATAACAAAACATCCCTGGCACCTGAGCAAAAAACAAAGGCTGGTGCTTGCAAAAAGGAGGTGCTTTAAATGTGCAGTTTTCCGTGCAGAGCAGTTGGTGCTGGTGAAATTCAAGTTAATATTGGCAGGTTCATCTCAACCTTCTGGACTAATGGCAAGTTTTTGAGCTCTAGATGTTCTAGTTGACTGGATTGTCCATTTTGAGCACATGGAGCCTTCCAAAAAGGCACTTGGGGTGGAAGTGGGGTCACAGAGTTGTGTGTTTGAAATTGGTTTTGTACTGGGAACAGCAGTGAGAACCTGGGCACCTGCCCAGCTCAGCCCTTGCACAGGTTCTTATATTATTATATTACTATTACATTATTATATTATTTTATTGTTGTATTATTACACACAGTGTTCATTTTGTGTGTCTGAGCCCTTAATTCTGTAAGGAATTAATTGCTTGTGTTGGAATTTGCTGCCAACATAAGCTTTGGAAGAAATTCTGCAAAAAAAAAAAAAAAGCCCCCAAAATCAATCAAAGAAATAAAACCACCAATCCCCCAACCCCTAAACAACCCAAACAGCTTTAAGCTGATAAATTATTTGTTTCTTTTTCTACTGGAAAATTAAAAATGCAAAGTCACGTTGACTTGGATTCGAAGTGCCTGTGAATTGTAGTTAGGGAGGGATTTTTCTGTTTGTTTTAACCTTAGTAATTACAGCTACTACAGTGACAACCACTTATTTTTTGAAATGGCTGATCTATGGATTTTAAGCCCAATAAACATTGCCTGCTGCCAGAACTCCCAAAACTGAGCACCAGGCTGTTCCTAAGCAATTAAATGTTGTGGCTCAGGCCTGAGCTCCCAGTGACTCCATCCCTCCTGGCAGGAAAACTCATTAGCCATGGGAAGATATTTCCCCAGGGAATTGGATTTCTGCATTTCCAACCAACACAAGAGGCACTGGCAGGTCTGGGGCTCTGGGATGGGGCAGGTGGGGATTTGGGAAGCAGCTGCATTTTGCTTTTTGAACCCAAGTTCTGCCCATAAAGGAGAATATCTCGTTATTCATTCTCATTGTGTCACCATCTTATTCAAACTTCTGCTCTCTATAAAATAAATGTTTCTAGGTGAAATAATTGGGCACTGGGCAGGTAGCACTGGCATGCTGGCACAGGTTTTCCTTCCCTGGAGATACACAAAACCTTTCTGGACACAGTCTGTGACTGTTCCAGGAGACCCTGTTTGAGCAGAGAGGTGGGACTTGATGGTCTCCAATGGTTCCTTCCAGCCTGAACCATCCTGGGATCCCTGTTTACACATCACAGGTGCACATGTATGTGTAAAAAAATAAAAACTAATGGAAAAGAAACTCTCACTTCGGGCCAAAATGTGCTGGTTTGCCCCTAGAATCCCAGGCTGGTTTGGGTTGGAAGGGACCTTAAAGCTCATCTCATTCCAACCCGTGGCAAGGACACCTTCCACTGGCCCAGGTTGCTCCAAGCCCTGTCCAGTCTGGTCTCATCCCTTTCTTTAATTTTTAGGAAGTCCTGATTATTTCAAGGTAGTTGGAATTCAGCTTCCAGGGGGAAAATGGAAGTGTTTCAGGGTGGTGCTGAGACAAGAGTGAGCAGTAGAGAAGCGGGGTGTTCCTGGCTCTGGGTGGCTTTGTCTCCATCCACGCTGAGGGCTGAGAGCTCTCAGTGGTGCTGAGGTCACTCTGTGCCTCTGGGGGCTCTTCTGGCTCGGGTTAAAGCAGCTCCTTCGTTCCTCTGCGTGAGAGCTGCCAGAGCTCAAACCAAACTTCCCTTGTAATAAAGTCTCTCTGGGGCTGGGGGTTCTGCTTCTGTGAAGAGCTGCAACTGTGCCATGGCAGAGGGGTTTGGCCTGAGAGATTTGGGGTGAGTTTGCCCGTGGCAGGTCGTGGTGCCTCCCTGAGACCCCCGTGGGGCAAACAGGGCTCTGCTCCGGCCGCGTGCGAGCAGAGCCAACACTTCTTGGGGATGGCTCAGTCTCTTCACGCTGACATTTGGGTTCTGCAGCCTGCTGTGAGTTGTTCATGTGGTTGTTAATGCTTTGGCTGTGCCCCTGCAGGTGGAGGCACTGACCCACCAGCCCAGAGCCACCACGGTGCACGCGGTCAGGGACTCCGAGCTGGCCAAGCTGCCCGAGGGAGCCCTGATATCCATCAAACGCAAATTCCCGCAGGTAAGAGGATTAAAAGTGTTGCTCTGTCTGTCTCAAAGATGTCTGAGAGGCTCAAACTGAGCACTGAGTCCTCTGGGTTTGCTGGTTGACTGATGCATGCTGAGAAAACACTGTGTTCTCCTCGGCTGCCGGAGCGGATCCAGCCCAGACTCCCACCAGCCTTTCCTCCTCTGTCTCCTGATCAGCTGGAGTTTTATTGCAGGGCTGGCTTGGGTATCTGGAAGAAATTCTGCTTAAATGCAGGATGTGCATATTTAGCAAAGTGGAAATCACTTAGTGCTGCTGATAGGAAATGGAAGTTTGACTTCTAAAATCACTTTAGGTTGTTGTTGCTCATTCATCCTCCCCGCTGGGGCTCCGAGTCAGCACTTGTTTCTGTGTACCTTTATTTCCAGAGCTTTGATATTTGGGGGTTGGTTTTCCTCTTCCTGCCATTTTAGGCTGTCAATCCTCATTCTGCAACTGCCAGAGCTGTCTGTGTCCTAAAGACTGTGATTGCTCCCTTTGAATCCATCAACTCATCCATCTTCTTTAATTCATTTGACATTATACCTCTCCCCTGCAAATCTGGAGACTGACGGACTTGAAATTTAATTCTTTGGTCCCTAAGTGCATCAGGGACATTAAACTAAGCACTAAATCATTGCACTGGCCTTAGAGGCAATTCTTTAATGCTGTTACCTCAAATTATTTCTGATTTTTCTTTTTGCTGTCTTTCAGACATAGACTTTTTTACTAGATTGCATAAAAAACCCCCACCACCCTACAAAAATAACAAACCTAATTAAAATACTTGCATTCTTTTGCCTTCCTAGGACCTGTAATAACTTTTAAAATTATTTTTTAACTGTATAATGTAAAGCCTGTGTTTCATGCATTTTCAGGTTACCAAAGTGTGGGGTTTTGTCTGTATTATTGCCAGGATAATTTAATCATTTTGAGTTTCATTGAGTGTTCAGGAGTTATGTCAATGAAAAATAATCTTCCTTCTGTTTTCCCTGTAAGCATTATTTTTGCTTCAGTGTTTCTGAACTTCTCTTGGAGGTTGTTAGGGCAATTCCTGTCCCTGGAGTTCACTTGAATAGTCCTCTGAGTCCATTCCTCTCTATTTAATGTCAGAGATTTCCTGCCCAGTGGATGAACTGGGAGCAGGGTGTAACCTCTGCACAGAACTACCCCCAGACTGGGTAGGACAGTGTGACCTCCTGTCTGGGATGGCCCTTTCAACTCTCACTCTCCTTGTGACTGATCAAGAAGGGAGGAAACGAGCCAGGGAGAATTTAAAACCTCCTTCCTGCTTGCCCAGCAGGTGATTGCAGTGTTCCTGATAAACATGGAGGCTGTAAATTACCAGGACCGTGGTTTGGGTTGGAAGGGACCTTAAAGCTCCTCTTATTCCACCCCCTGCCCTGGGCAGGGACACCTTCCAGCAGCCCAGGTTGCTCAGAGCCCAGTCCAGCCTGGCCCAAACACTGAGCAGTGCCTTGAAGGCTGCTCTGCACAAAGGCTGGGTTCTAATTCTGCCTTTTTATCTGGGGCAAGAATTTATTTCAGTGTCTCTTTTCTCTCTCTTCCCCCTTCCCATTCTGCCAGCTGGCAGAGTTGTTTTCCCCTGAAGAGTGATCTCTGTGGAGCTGTGAATCTCTTTGCTCTGCAGTTCAAGTTGAGCTCGAGTGTTACATTTATAGTACAAATCAAAACATTTATTTGTAAGAGAATTCAAATGTCTTCCCATGTTTGAAGAATACAGCCTCAAATTCCTGACCTTTTCCAGTATGGAATTGGTTTTCTCTAGACTTGCATATAGTGTGGCTAATTAGTTGCAATGAAACAGAAATGCTAAAATAGATATTTTAAGGAAATGTGTTGCAAAAAAGGTTGTTAGAAAAACACATTTGTGCTGCTGTTTGAGGTCTCCAACTTCTAAATGGATGTTAAACTGGTATAAAAAATGTGAGAACTTAGATTTTTTTTTTTCTATGGGATTATTTTAGAACCAGCACTAGAAATAGAAAGAGGAGCATAAGATAGACTTTATATAGGTGATTTGTGCAGTTAATGCCTTCAGACTCTCTTAAGAACTTGAGATAAAATGTTTTTATAAGATTTCAGAGTCCTTGTGCCTCGGTTTGGGGTGGAAGGGACCTTAAAGCTCATCTCATTCCACAATAGGTTAGAAAGTTTGGAGATAAGTAGAACGTACAAAGTCAACTTTAAAGGATTTTACTGGAGAGAAGTGTTTGAGCTGAAAACTCATGAACTGCATCCAGAGGACAGGGGCTGGGTAGCTGTTCCTTAGAAAAAGGATCCAGGCATTGGAGAATCAAAAGCTGCCCGTGCCAGGACAGTGTCAGGCAGTTGCAAAAAAATGAACTATGTTAACAAAAGGCTTTTTGGAGTGAAGAAATCCTGACATTCTCCCTGATACTGGAAAAGCTTCAGCACCAGCTTGTGGCAGCACCTTTGAAGGCAGAGGCAGAGCAAAGGAGGAGTCTGGAGGACAAAAAGGCAGCTGAGTGCTGGGTAGAAATACTGCCCTATAAAGACAAAAAGCCTGTGAAAGGTTAGGGGAAGACGTGGTAGCTATTTTCAGACGTGTAAAGTTGTCTTCTGCTAGAAAGGGCAGAAGCTGCTCATGGTACTGGAATGGAGCAGGTGGGACTGAGCTGAAAGGGCAGCAGTTGGGTGGTGAGAAAAAGCTGATTCTGCTCCCTAGAAAGACTAAAAGATTGTTGCTTGTTTTTATAACCTCCTTTGAAATGATCGTTGAAGTGATTCTTACTGCAGAGCAGAGGGATGGGCCAAATGAATTCTCTCTGTCCTATTTTCACAGCTGTTATTCTGATGGAGTGATTTATACCCAGGTTTATGATGATGTTTTCCCCATTCAACCAGAAGTAATAAAGTAATGAAGGGATAGCAGGTGCAATAGTTCTGAAATAATTGACTAGGTAGCAGGAGCTGGCTGGTGATTCAGCACTGTGGTGGAGGATTTCCCTCCTGGTCCTCTGCAAAGCAGAAAACCACCTTTTAGGGAGAAGAAAAGCAACTCTGCCTCTATCAAACCCCTGCTCCTCCACTGCCCGGGGAGGGTGAGTTATGAGTCTCACTTGGTGGATAATGGTCAAACACTGGTGCTTGTCCCCTGAGTCCCTCCTAGGGGAATGCCACACCAGGGATAACTGGGGGTTTTTGTGATCCTCTTGGCAGATCCCATAGAGCCTAAATAGTGTGTGAGTTAACAGCCAAGAACTGGGCAGTTCCTGAGCATGAGTTCCCTTTTCAGTTACCCTTGAGCTTCACTGTTTCTTGTCAAGGGTGAAGAACCCTTTTAATTCTAGGAATTAGTGGATGGACTTCATCCTGCAGCCTTTTCCCCAGCCATGCTGTGTTTGTAGGGGATCCAGAAAGGTTTCCAACCCTGGAAATGCATTGTAAGAAAATATTACCTGATGGGTAAGAAAACTGTAGGACGTGGGTGGTGCTTGCCAATAACAACAGTGTGAAATGAGGGAAATCCTGCTCTATTAGTCCAGGCAGTGATTCCAGTTCCTTGAGCTGTGATGGACAATCTGGACAAATGGCAGGGCTGATCCTTGGGGAAGCTCCATATGCTTGTCCTCTGTTTTGTCTTCTCTCCTGACCAGCTGCTTTGGTCCTGGGAGAGACAGAATGCTGCTCTGCTGGGATCTTCCATGTGACCCACTGGAGCTCAGCTTATTCTGAGGGCTGAAACAGATGGGTGAGGATGAGGAGTCTGATCTCAGTTATAAATAACAGCTAAAATTCCAGAGTATGTGCCCAGAAATGCCAGATGTTGACTTCTAGATCCTGCTCAGTCTGCACAAGTCAAATCTACATCTTCTGGCTTCTCAGCCTTGATTCGCTCTGGCCGTGGCATCCTGGACATTCCCAATGGAAGTGGTGCATGGTGCCAAACTTCTCCTTTGTTTTGTCAGCCCTGGTGCCCAGAGCTCTCCAGCACAGCCATCAGGGCACTCTGCCAGCCCCAGCATTTGCTCTCTGACAGCCCCCGTGTCGCTCCTGGTGCCGCTCGAAGCTTTCCAGCCTTGCAGGAAATCGATTCTTTCTATTTTCATCCCTGCCTTCGGTTCTGGAAAGTAGGACAGGGAAAGGGAACCAGCTCACGATTCCTGGCACTGCAAAGCAGCGTCGAGGCAGCAGCGAGAGCTCCGAGCCTGTGAACAGATCACAGAGATGTTCCACCGTCGCTGCAGAGCTGGGATCACATTTCCTAGATTAGCTTTGCCTCTCCCGAGCTGAGAGAGTTTTTAGAATTCTAACTTGAAATTTAGACCTGCTGGAGCTGATGGAAATTGTGCTGAGAAATTGCTTGGGAGCTGTGGGGGCTGAACTGTGAGACAACCTTTGGCATGCTGAAAAATAGAAAGAGTTTTTTTCTGCATCTTTCTTTTAATTCTCTAAGTTGGCCCCTGGGGTTTAAATATATTCAGAACCCATCATCCATCTCCAGCTGGAGTTCTGCTATCTTTATATGTGTATTTTAACCAGAGCCCTTCTGAAGTGGCTGGAGCCTTCCCCAGGGTTATCTGCCTTACAAAGTGAGCTCAGCAATGTGCCCTCTTTTCAAAATGCTCCCCTCGGGCAGCAGGAATATTGTGCGTCATTACTTGAGCTTGATGTGGCCCTGTGGAATAGGTCAGGAGGGGCTGTGCTTCTGGATTTTTCTGTATTTGTTCTCATGGGCCATTAAAATAAGTGTTCCTTGACTGCAGGAGAAGTGGAGGTGGAAAGGAGAGAAGGAAGGTGCTCAGTGGAAGCACCGTGGTCACCCAGGGCAGGCAGGCAGGAGGGAGCCCTTGATCAGAGCAGCGATGCCTGAATGACGTTTTTCTTCAAGGCTCTGATTGATCCCAAGCCTTGGAAGCTCAAACAGCCTCAGGATAAAGCTTCAGTTCCCCTGTGTGCTTTAGCAGCATTTGTAAAGGTGCCAGGCATTGTTGTGAGGGAGCATTTAG